GTGCGCATCGTCAGCCCGGTACGGCCCGTTCCGGCTCCACGCACCAAGCCAGGGGTGCGCCATGTCAGCCCGGTCCGGCCCGTTGCTGCTCCACGCACCAAGCCAGGGGTGGGGCATCGTCAGCCCGGTCCGGCCCATTCCTGCTCCACGCACCAAGCCAGGGGTGCGCATCGTCAGCCCGGTCCGGCCCGTTGCTGCTCCACGCACCAAGCCAGAGGTGCGCATCGTCAGCCCGGTCCGGCCGTTCCTGCTCCACGCACCAAGCCAGGGGTGCGCGTCGTCAGTCGGCACAACCCGTGCCTGGGTCAGCGGTGCCTGGTCAGGTACCGGTCAGCTGCTCCACACCGGAGCTTAAGCAATCCGCTCCTACGATGTCCAGTCCAGCTCCAGCCAGCGGGCCAGACCGGACCAGGGGCGCTACGGGGGATTATTGGAGGGTGGTGGGCAAGCCCGGAGCCGGAACCGCCTCCGAGGAGGAATGCCCACCCAGCCCTCCCCTGTTTGGTTTATGTTGAGGCGCGGTCGCAGTCCGCGCCTTTGGGGGGGGGGTACTGTCACACCCTGGCTCTGGGGACTCTATATGTTGAGCCAGGGTGTGTAGATTCTATGTGTTTATGTTCTGTGTTGTAGTTCTAGTTGTTTCATTTCTATGTTGGCCAGTGTGGTTCTCAATCAGAGGCAACGAGTGTCAGCTGTTGCTGGTTGTCTCTGATTGGGAACCACATTTAAACAGGCTGTTTTCCCACAGTAGTTGTGGGATCTTGTTCCTTTTGGTTTGTTCCGTGTTGGTTGTGTTTAACCTAGGACGTCACGTTATCGTTTATTGTTTTGTTCGTGTTATCACTTTTGATAATAAAGTATGTTCGCTCATCACGCTGCGCCTTGGTCTACTCCGTTCAACGATCGTGACAATCGGCTTGAGGGGGGAAATAAACGGCCGTGGCTATAACGTAGGAAAATTATCTTGGGAGATAATACGGTCGGCATTTGATTGTGAGGTATTCTAGGTCGGGTGAACCTAGAATTGAGTTCCTGTATGTTACTACAATTACACCATAAGTCGTTAATCATGAAACACACACCTCCGCCCTTCTGCTTCCCGTAGAGATATTTATTCCTATCTGCGCGATGAACTGAGAATCCCTCTGGCTGGACCGATTCCGACAGAGTATCCCGAGAGAGCCATGTTTCCGTGAAACAAAGTATGTTACAGGCCCTGATGTCTCTCTGGAAAGAAATCCTTGCCCTGAGCTCATCAACTTTGTTATCCAAAGACTGAACATTAGCGAGTAATATACTCGGAAGCGGTGGGTGGTGTGCGCGCCTCCTAAGTCGAACCAGCAGGCCACCTCGAGTGCCTCTCCTCCGCCGGCGATGTTTTGGGTCGTCCTCTGGAATCAGTTCAATTGCTCTGGGGAGAGCGAACAAAGGATCTGCTTTGGGGAAGTCGTATTCCTGGTCGTAATGCTGGTAGTTCTGGTGAGTTACCGCCGCTCTGATATCCAATAGTTCTTCCCGGCTGTATGTAATGACACAAAATATTTCCCGAGCTAATAACGTAAAAAATTATACATAAAAAAACAAAATATCGCAAAGTTTCCTAAGAGCTAGTCACGAGGCCACATCATTTATCTGGTTTTAGTCATTTAAGTTTACACTGAAAGCGTTTTTCCATCCCCAATTATTATAATAAAACATTTTACACTGAAAAAACGCTTACATACTGACCAGACCGCACATCGCCAGTATGTTGATTTTGTCCACCCACACCAGACGAAATCAGGACACGCAAGTTGAAATATCAAAACGAACTCTGAACCAACTATATTAACTTAGGGACAGGTCGAAAACCATTAAACATGTATGGCAATTTAGCTAGCTAGCTTGCTGTTGCTAGCTAATTTGTCCTGGGAAATAAACATTGGGTTGTTATTTTACCTGAAATACACAAGGTCCTCTACTCCGACAATTAATCCACAGATAAAAGGGTAAACCGAGTGAGTTTCTAGTTCTCTCCTCCTTCAGGCTTCTTCTTCTTCTTTGGATTTTATATGGCGGTTGGCAACCAACTTTAAGGTGCATTACCACCTGGAGTGTGGACCTTCGTTCATCTTTCGATCACCCATGTGGGTATATGCTCCTAAAAACCAATGAGGAGATGGGAGAGGCGGGACTTGCAGCGCATCGAGCATCACAAATAGAACCAAGTTCTATTTTAGAGCCTGGCTACGTGTTAATTCTTACAGTATTAGCCCAGAACATTTTTTGTGTTTTAATTCCATTATTTTACTTTTAGATTTTTGTGTATTGTTGTGAATTGTTAGATACTACTGCACTGTTGGAGCTAGGAACACAAGCATTTCGCTACACCCATAATAACATCTGCTAAATATGGGTATTTGACCAATAAAATAAAATTTGATTTGATCTGCCTCTATTATGACTGGATACATCTGGCACCTGAATATTTAGAACTAGATCGCATTGCTGATTACTACTGGATGAATAATTGATCACGGCTGATTAGCATGATTTGGTCAGGGACATGTTGCTAGGATAGACACAGAGACACACTTAGCAGAATGTGATAGGGAATCAACTGTTACAAACAAGGCATGCATGATTTTTCAATTCACGATAGGCTATTTAAGCTTTTATTGAAAATATTTTTGAGAGTTCAGTTTTAGATTTAGAGTAATACAGTATATATTTTATGTAATATTTGAGGATAAAGGAGATATGGGTTTTTGGACTGTGTATGGATGATGTAATATTGACAGGTCTTCTTTTTAGTATTTGTCTTAGCATTGTTGTTTTGTTACCAGTGCTTACTGTCAGTGTGATGTTTGAAATTCAAGAGGAGACATTAGAGCGGTGTAAATGGTTACATAACATAGTATTTAGTTTCATTCATAGTGTTACATGTGTCTTTAGTTATGTTCTGATATAGCTTTTAAACTTTGACCTTTTACAAAAAAATATATATATACATTTTAGCCATCAATTGAGTATTTTCCTGAGAATAATACCAGCTGGACTGGCAATATCCCACTAATTTAGATCGGCGGCTTGAACACCAGGAGAAAGTTGATATTGGAGAGTTGGTGTCTGATGCTGCCAGCCACCTTGACCACACAGCTGCTCTCTAGCAATATGAGCCTACTGTTGTTACAATAGCCTGACACAGATGTCTGGGCAACAGGAGAACCACAATGTCTGGGCAACAGGAGAACCACAATGTATGCAATGTGCTGAGTAGACTCACAGATGCTTAGAAACAAATATGTCCCATTCGTTGAGAGTAATCAATGGCTCCAAAAAAGCTTTTTCACCTTGTTGATACACGAGGCATGTGTGATTTACTATATTTGAACGGGACTGAGCTGTTAGATTAATTTCCTGGCTGATCAATGATGATAGCGTTGTCTTTTATCTGAAGTCAGACAGGGAGGAAAATGATTGAGTGGTCTCGCCTAGTGTTACACATGCAGACTTTCAAAGAAGTCTATTCTCTCCCCCTTGTCCACGTTATGTTTGCTTTCTTTGAGGAAGGACACATTGAAGGACATCAGTCACCACTTTGCGCTGCATGTTTCAGATCAGTTATATCCATCTAGTGTCAAGCCATCACTCACCCTGCTTCTACGCCAATTCATAAATCTATCCAAGCTGGTGCAGTGACAGAGAGAGCCCTGGTGGTCCAAATATCGTTGACGTTTTTCACGTCAACCGGTGCTCAAAATAAACACTCCCCCATCTCCCACAGGGTCAGTCAACCTCTGTGATACATTGCACTTATGTGACAAACTGAAGAGATGTGAGAATTGAACTCCTCTCATTGAGAATATCCATCATTCAGGGAATATGGAGTACATACATATGTAAATGTTTTTTCTGATCCATCACATCGCACTACTACTCACTCAGGTGTATGTTTTGGCACCTCTTGCTTTGCACCTTTGAAACATCATGTCTGTCATGTTGTTTATGGCCTCACTTTATACACCTCAGACTGATTTATTACAGGCCTAACCCTTTTGCTTTGATAATAGTGACTTATCCTTAATTTATGATATTATGGGGCGGTTTCCAGGACACAGATTAAGCCTATTCCTGGACTAAAAAGCATTCTCAATGGAGCATCACCATTGAAAATGCTCTTGAGTCCAGGATTAGGCTGAATCTGTGTCCAGGAAATCGCCCCTCATTATGCGATTACTTAATATGACTTAATATCCCACCTGTCATGGAATAAAGACACCAAAGTCAGATAGAAAATTATATTTTAGTAAGCTCTTTCAGTTTGATTTGTGTGGAGCCTGGGGGTGGGGTAGAGAAAAGCACCAGTCAAGGTAATCTCAGGCCAATCCAATTGATGCTGAAGAGATTTAAGTGTTCTTAGTGGAGTGTCCCTGGACATCGACAGGGTCCCTGTGGTGCGTGCTAATTCAGGGTCCCAGTGCAATGCTACTTGTTACATGTCCTCTCGGGGATAAGCAAGCGTAATCTGTATGGGTCTTGTTTTACTGTTAGACACTTTAGTCGTTTGTGTGCACTGTCCAGGCTAAATGAGTCAGCAGAAAATAACACTCCCAATGTAAGTACCATCGTTTGGTTTGAATTTTGCTTTCTCTTCGGCAGCTTTAAACCTGTTAAGTGCGTCCCTTGGCCAAATAGATGTGTCATTGAGCTCAATCAGTGGTTTAGTTGTCTACTGTATAACATAATATATAGCAAGCTGTTAATATCTTTAGTGTTGATATATCGGTAGTGAGAACGTGTGTTTTGGTGAAGCATTGCATGTAGATCAGTGTGGTCAAAGCCATATGCAAAATGTTTTGAAGCTAAGCTATACTGACACATTGCCTGCTATCTTTCCTTGATTAGCAAAGCTTCCCATAGAGAGGAGAAAGTGTTGGCAGGGATACACATTTAATTTAGTTCCAACATGTGTGTATGTGAATGAAGCATTTCTCTTGGATCTCTATAATTCTATGTAGGAGGTCGTTGTATGGACTGTACCCTTACAAGGCCAGTATGATCCGTCTGGGGAGCCTGGTGGATCCATCGGGTGACTGGGATATTGCAGAGACCATTGGTAAAGGAAACTATGGAAAAGTCTAGAGTGAACAACAGGAAAGATGGGAGTCAGGCAGCAGTTAAGTCCTGGACCCAATCAATGTAAGTTAAATGCAAAAGTGCCACAATCAATCGATATGCCACTTTAGCAAGTTTAGGGCCTCTTCCTCGTTTTCGCCAGAAATGTCAACCCTGACTAAACAAACAAATTAATAAAGGAAATAATCTCTGTTTTTCTTGACTATTGTTTGGCTTCTTTCAGTATACCAAGCATACAAACAGAGTAAGTTCCTTTGCTTATTTCCCTGTACCTGCCTCCCCCTGTACTTGTCCCTGTGTTTACTGTTCCCAAGTAAATTCCCCACCGGTCTCCTTTTCATCCATTTCTACATCCACTTCCCACAGTCGTCCTTACCATCTCCCTCCCCCTTTATGTATGCCACTACCTTAGTGATGTGCAGCTAGCTGGCAGACCTGTCTGTCGTGCTGAGGCCGGGGGCCATGCAGTGGAGCCATGTAGTGTTTGTGAGACTCAAGCTGAGTGCTTGCTTGTGATTGTGTCAGTGTTTCAATCCCTCCTGCGGCTCTTGCTAGCCCCCTGCTGCAGCTCCCCGGCCGGGTATGAAGATGTAGCTGCTTCCCTGCTCATCCCTCTCCTTGATTAGACTGCTGACAGTATCGTTCACACATCCAGGAAGAGGAATTCTGCCTCTGTGACGCTTTCTCTTCACTTCCACTGATATTTAAACTGATATAGAAGAAGCTTCATTGGTACTTCTAACCAAGAGTTAGTTTCCCTGTGTTTAATGGTTCTGGGCTCTGATTGAAGGTGTTTTAGTTCCCTTAAATTTCATTTCAACATCCTTTTTTAGAAATGTAAATAGTTTCTCTGCAGTTTGTTTTGCCTTCTTGTGACTTGTGTGTTGGTGTTCAGTCAAAATGTTGTGTGACTGATGTTAATGTGTCCTCCTTGACAAAGGATGTTGATGAGGAGATTGAGGCTGAGTACAACATCCTGAGGACCCTGTCCAACCAGGGACAGCTCTGGTTTGTTCTAGAGGTGAGATCCCCTGGGTCTTTCTGTCTCGCTTATAAAGTAGGACTTTGCCCAGCTTTACAGTCCAGTCAAATATTGTATACTGTACAATACCGCACTACATGCAATTAGTCATTTAAGGGCTCATACAGTAGGACTTTGTCATTGGAGGCAATATAACCCAGTGGTGTGTGCTTGTCAAACATGACAGTGTCTGATTGTGCCCAGTATAGGTAGCTGCACTTTATCTCCTGTGTTACATTTCCACCAATATGATCAACACAGTCTTACAGTAGACTATGGCCCATCTTTGTTGTTGTCTCTTTGAGCACTAGAAGGATCACAAACAGTAGATTTACTTTAAATGATTGGAGTGAAATCCATCGCAGAGCTGAGAGGAGGTCACCCTCCTACATTGGGAAAAATCTCAAGTTTAAAAGCTTTGCAAGAAGGAGTTGTGACTCCAGTGTAGTTGTATGTGTGGGAGGGATGGCTCTGGTAATTAATCATAATCTAGAGTGGCGAGTATTGGAGGAGCCACTGTTGTTTATCTCGCTCTGTCTCACACACACACACACAGCTGTGCAACGGGGGCTCAGTCACAGATATCATCAAAGAACTGCTCATGCGAGGCCAGCAACTGCTGGAGACCATTATCGCATACATTTTATACGCCGCCCTCTTGGTGAGATGGCCAACTGTAAAATGCCTAATGACAGAAGGGTGTGGCATCCACATACAGTGGGCAGAGGATTGAGGGGGCAGGGTGTGGGAATAATATGCATGGCAGTAGACAGCTTTGTTTGAAACACATTCAAATGGTACTAATCACAAACAGTTAATAATGGCTTTACTGATGCTTATTAAACCCCCCATTTGCTTTCCTCCTCCCGCCTGCCAGGGTCTCCAGCATTTACACAACAACCAGATTATTAATTGTGACGTCGAAGGAAACAACATCCTTCTGACTACCGAGGGAGGAGTCAAGCTTGTTGACTTTGGTAATGGCTTTGTTTTCCTGTTGTGGGGGCACTTTGGCCAATTGATGGTTTGAATAAGAGATACATGCATTTTAAAGGGAGGCTCTGGGAAGTTGTTTGTGAGCTCTGTTACTTCTGTCTGGGCCTTCATTTAAAGGTCCAATGCAGACTTTTTTAAAAATCTCAATATCAAATCATTTCTGGGATTGTTTTCAATTAAAATGGTCAAAAATGAACAAAAATATATTCTTAGCAAAGAACAATTTCTCAAGTAAGACTTTTGCTAGGAATGTTTGGGAGTGGTCAGAGTGGGAAGGGGAAAACTGAAAACTAGCAGAGAGGTTTGAAACTCTCTTGGTTTATTAACTAATTTACCACTCCATCCAACCAAACAGGCTGAAAATTCTGTGGCGTCTTTTCAAACAGCTCTACACTGAAAGGACATTATCTAATTTTAAATTCCACATTATATCCAAACCTCATTATTGTGTGAAATATACCCTTCACTTACTTCTAATAGGTTACATCCATCTGGTACCGTCAGACCCCCTTTTACCTCCAGAACAGCCTGTGACATACGTGGGAATGTTCCACGGGCTGTTGGTCCACTGACCAAGGGATCACGAGATAAGGACCACGTGCCGGCACGACGAATATCCCTCAGTCGCTAGACGTTTGCCCATTAGACGAATCTAACAGATACTGATCGCATCGTCCCGTTGCCTGCATTAGCAGCACGGCATACTCTGTACACATTTACATTTTAGTCATTACAGTCTTATCGAGAGACTTACAGTTAGTCACTTTTTTATATCCCCCTGTTTTTGCCCCATTCTATCAAACGTGAGCTACATCCCGAACAGTAACCTGAACGCCAATCGGCCCATCCCTGTCTCCCGGTCGCGGCCGTAAACGCCTGGATTAGATCTCTAGTGGCACGCACACCCACGTGCAGCCTTGACCACTGCGCCCTAGATGTGGGGAGTGATCCATTTTCATGAACGGGGTGGTGTACCTAATAAACCGGTGAGTGTATATAAAACACAGGAAAATCACGTTTTTGACTGCATTGGGCCTTTAACAGATGACTCATCATTGATAGTTGACGGTTAATTCATTTTTTTTATTTGTCCACGTTATTATTGGTAAAGACTATCAGATAAATACAAACATATGGGCATCAATGCTGTGATGCAGTCCTCGTTCCATGTCTTTGTTACTGACCCTATGTAACATCTTTGTATTTCATGGACCATAGCTTAACCTAAGGCTATTATTGCCAATTTAAATTGCATTATTTGATCCTTTGCATATGAAAAGAAAGCTGTTCTGGCAAATGACTTTGAGTTGCCCCGGGCATGTTTATGTCCTCTGTGTGCTGAGAATGAAGTGGAATCCTGCTGATAAAAATCTGTCCCACTTAATTAGAAATTATTATGGTGGTATGGCAGGTTGTCACACCAAATGATATGCCATATTGCTATTGATTTATTCACACACTTTCCCTCTGTTTATGTAATTCACATTCATGTAATATGCACACAAATATACATCACATTAAACAACTGTGAATGTAATTATAACAGGTCATGTGATATAATATATAAAATCTTGATTTTGCCCCAAAAACGGATGACCTGAGGATGTTGTGTTTTATATTAAATAGCCTAAATTCTATTCAGGTGTCTCTGCTTAGCTGACGAGTGCACGTTTGCAAAGAAACACATCCATTGGCACTCCCTTTTGGATGGCACCTGAGGTTAGCTTTTTTTTTTACATGCGCCACTAAACTCCTTTACTTGCAATTGCATGAGAACACCGAATACATTTTAGCACAGAAATATCCTACATGATGACACCAATGAGTTGCATTAGATGTGCTATATGGACTGTAGAGAGAGATAAACAAGTGAGTATGTACTCACCTGATTAATGAATTTAACTAACCTTTTTAAATCAACATTACAATGTGTATTTTAAACACAGACAATTTTAAAATGAGTTGATTTTCTGCATTGTTATTTCATCTTATTTCAGCTTCAGAAACAATGAAAGCCTTTAGGTACCCATACGAAGTCACTACCTCACTGTTGCTAATACATTATCTTCATATCATCATCTACAGCAAGAAACAGCAACTTGCATGAGAAGTGTCCACCTGCTTGTGTCATGCTTGTCCTGCCTGTGTCGTCCCAGGTCATCGCCTGTGAGCAGCAGTATGATTCCACGTATGACGCCCGCTGTGACGTGTGGTCGCTGGGCATCACAGCCATAGAGCTGGCTGATGGAGACCCCCGTTGTCTGAGATGCACCCCGTCAAAGCCCTCTTCAAGATCCCATGGTAAGGCACTAGAGGGCTCCCTCTGTACACAGCTGGCAGGGACAGATCAGACACACAGCGGCGTACACTTTCATAAAAAGCTTTAGATTTTTGGCTGGAGGACAATGGCAAACTGAATTTAGGAGTGGATCATCGCAGAGCCCTTTCTCTGAAAATAATGAAATGGCTAATATGTCAAGAAATTGTAAAGATTCTTAATGTTATTTTGTGGTCATGAAATGCAGGATGGACCTGGTAGAAATACATTAAATCAGGAAAATAAATAGCGTGCTACAATGCGTGTTTCCAAGCTAAAAGGCTAGATTGTAAATTAAATAGAAAATTGTAGAATGATAAACTGATAAACTTTATCAAGAGTAAATGGAACAATATTTGGCCTTACCCTTAACTGTTATTTAATCCAAAAAATCTCTAATGTAAACACAATTTCTAATTAATAATTACTTGAAAGCTTTGATGGTACAAGTGATTGACCTTTTGCTATCGGCACAGTCGCACAATTATCTCCCAGTTTGGTGAGGACGTGCCCTTTTGATTGCAATTTTCATTGGTGATTAGCGCCATTCACATTGAGATTAGGCTGTCACCAGCCACACGTCACAATGTTATCTCCAACCCACCAAACCTGATGAGAAACTAGCATGCGTCGTGTCGCAGGATTATGGTAGCCACAGCAGCGGTTTATCACACCAAACTCAAGTGAATGTAAAACAGGTCACAACAATTAAAGGATCAGAGGAAGCTGTCCTGGTCAAACGAACGCTCCCAAATCACAGAGCCTGGAATAACACTCTGCCGGGTCGGGGATGAGGCATGCATTCAGTCATCTGAGTTGATAGGATGGAACCATTTCAGTGGGATGAACAAATGGTCAGCTCCTAAATTCTGTATAGTACCGAATTGGGGATTGGCCTGTTTTGATAGAAAGATGAACACATAAAAGAGATGAAGCTATTAACACAGTCCCAGAACAGGTTTTGTATTTTGTGTTAAGGATGTTAATTTCCCTTAGATACCATTTACTACAGGTCATGATAAACAAAGGAAGGGCATTTCTCTTTTTTTTTATCATTCATCCCTTTTTCTATATCACCTTTTTCTGAAATCGTTTGACTTTATGAGTGATTTGGAATACGAATAGAGTTATACTCGTGCAGCAATCTACCGTTGTTGAGACTGGGGTTTCTTTTTCAAAATCAAAATAGATACTTGGCCCTGGCCCATAAATCTTTTCAATTGGGACCTTTGGCTGGGCGGCTCCAGGATAAATCAAAGTGTGAGCACACTGAACCGTGAAATGATTCTGTTAACATGTCATGTGTTTCAAATATATTTCCCCATCAATGCAGCATGTCCGTCAAAATTATAAGGGGAGGTTGCCTGACATTGTCTGCCTGTCGAATGTGGATTCTATTCGAAACAGAAGAAATTGTGTATCTGTGTGTTGCACTTTTATTCTGCACATTGATGAGCACAGAAATTATAGTAATACACTATGAATTACCTTAATGATTGTAAAGAGGTAGATTTAATGATTGTGGGTGTTGTTTCCTGCGAGTGTTTCACATGCTTCAGTGGCTCTTTAAATGGACTATCTCATAAAGCCATAATCAGGGTGGCTTCTCCTGATAAAGCATTGTCCTTGGGAATAACAGGTTTCATAAAAATTTCACTGGCACTAAAACATGCTATATTTCCTTATGACATTAGATCGTATGACCTTGCACACAATCCTGTATTTCCATTTCACAGTCCACTCAATGGCACAGTGTATTAATCTACTGTGTAAATCCCAAGATTATTCCTAGGAGTAGGACATACCATTCCAAACATGGTCACCATTGGGTATAAGCATTAAGAAAAACACAATGGATGGGTTTATGAAATATGGTAATAACTGCATATTCAGTGACACTGTCTAAATCTAGTTGATGCATCTCTGTCCATCTATTTCCTATGGTTTTGTGATGTAGCTGGTAGTATGTAATCCTTGGGTTGAGAGCGAAGAGGGTTCTGGTTGTTTTGGCTGGCTGAGTTCTATGCCCCTCGCTGTACTGCAGTATCTCCTCAATGTCGTACAACAGATGGAGTTGCCTTAGGGTGTGGACTGTGCAGATAAAACAACAGCACAATTAACGTAGTCAGGCCTCTGGGGGCAGGGACACTGGGGCTGAACACAGGCAGGACTACTGCAAGCCATGTGATAGAGCTGTAGATTTGCTGTGGGAACTTGCACAGATGGTATCCCTTTCACAGCGACCAGTGTGAAGTGGTGAGAGGAGTTCAGATCGCTGTCTGGGAAGCTGCTCTGCTCCACCACTCCATTTATACCTGCTGCTTGGTCCTCCTGTCCACATATAGCATCAGATACAAATAATTTTATTGATTCCAGCACCATTGTAAATCAGTATTACAGATGTAGGATCTTAATTGGAGACAGTTTGCTACAGAAGGAAAATAATCCTGCAGCAACAGGAAATGCGAATTATTGTGTGGATGTTTTGAAATTTTTGTAGGGTTTGATACATTTTTCATAAGGGAATGACAAACTTCAGAAGCCTGTTTAAACCTCAAATACACTACACGTTTTACATTTCCTGCATTGCAGGAAAGGTCTGATGCAACAGGGTGATCAAATTAAGATCCTACATCTGTAACAGTAAACTAAGGCGGGCCCAGGATTCAATCAGTTTCAGATAGACCTCCAAGAGCCAAGCACAGATCCTCCACTTACGGAAACAGATTATATGCCCCAGCCCATTTGATGATGAGAAGCTTGGATGTAATTTTGCCTGCTATATGGTATGTAATATATGTGCGGCACATGGTTATCATGAATGTGGGTAATGGAGCATGTAAAAGGGTAAAGCTGTAAAACAGTTAACTGCAGAATTAATTACAGATACTTGAGACGATGCTCTCAGATATTTAATATGTGGGAAGGTTAATTGCTTGAGCCAATATTCTCCATGCTATATTAGCCAAACCCTGAGTAAAGTCCTGTGTAAAGTCATAGGGAGAAGGATGTGAAGGTTAAAGGTAATTGGCAAAGAAGTCCAAGGCTCTGTTGATTCACCCAGATCCCAGTGGATATTAGCAATATATATAACTGGGCTTGTATCTGTCTGAAGGGAGACGAGAACTGAGGAAGATGATGGGAGTAAATGATGGCTTGTCAGAGGCAACAAAGGCAAATTAAATCATAGGGCAAGTGAACGGAATTCCAACCAGTGTTCTGGTGAGAGGCAATACACCAGCCAAAAGCCACAGGTAATGTAAAGGCAGCAGAGCAGAACAGTCATGGGTGAAAGACATCAATACAATGTTTACTGTTTTCTTTTACCAATACTGTTCATCCATTTTCAGGGCTCAGATTGTGAAATTGACACCTGACCATCAGCCACACAGAAAGCAGGCCTTGGATCAAAGATCAATGTTAACAGAATTCTTAGCAGAATGTAAACTGTGATTCTTGTATTGTGATCTTGACATTCAAGATTACATTCAATGATATTTACTAAATCCTGTGTGGCTTAGTCAGTAGAGCATGTCGCTTGGAATGCCAAGGGTTGTGGGTTTGATTCCCGCTTTGTCCAACCATATGAAAATGGTATGCGTGCGTAACTAAGTCGCTTTGAATAAAAGCATCTGCTAAATCAAATCAAATTTTATTGGCCACATGCGCCGAATACAACAGGTGCAGACATTACAGTGAAATGCTTACTTATAGCCCTTAACCAACAGTGCATTTATTTTTTATAAAAAAGTAGAATAAAACAACAAAAAAGTGTTGAGAAAAAAAGAGCAGAAGTAAAATAAAAGAACAGTAGGGAGGCTATATATACAGGGGGGTACCGGTGCAGAGTCAATGTGCGGGGGCACCGGCTAGTTGAGGTAGTTGAAGTAATATGTACATGTGGGTAGAGTTAAAGTGACTATGCATAAATAATTAACAGAGTAGCAGCAGCGTAAAAAGATGGGGTGGGGGGGCAGTGCAAATAGTCCGGGTAGCCATGATTAGCTGTTCAGGAGTCTTATGGCTTGGGGGTAGAAGCTGTTGAGAAGTCTTTTGGACCTAGACTTGGCACTCCGGTACCGCTTGCCGTGCGGTAGCAGAGAGAACAGTCTATGACTAGGGTGGCTGGAGTCTTTGACAATTTTGAGGGCCTTCCTCTGACACCGCCTTGTATAGAGGTCCTGGATGGCAGGAAGCTTGGCCCCAGTGATGTACTGGGCCGTACGCACTACCCTCTGTAGTGCCTTGCGGTCGGAGGCCAAGCAGTTGCCATACCAGGCGGTGATGCAACCAGTCAGGATGCTCTCGATGGTGCAGCTGTAGAATTTTTTGAGGATCTGAGGACCCATGTCAAATATTTTCAGTCTCCTGAGGGGGAATAGGCTTTGTCGTGCCCTCTTCACGACTGTCTTGGTGTGTTTGGACCATGATAGTTCGTTGGTGATGTGGACACCAAGGAACTTGAAGCTCTCAACCTGTTCCACTACAGCCCCATCGATGAGAATGGGTGTGTGCTCAGTCCTCTTTTTTTCCCTGTAGTCCACAATCATCTCCTTTGTCTTGGTCACGTTGAGGGAGAGGTTGTTATCCTGGCACCACACGGCCAGGTCTCTGACCTCCTCCCTATAGGCTGTCTCATCGTTGTCGGTGATCAGGCCTACCACTGTTGTGTCGTCTGCAAACTTAATGATGGTGTTGGAGTCGTGCCTGGCCATGCAGTCATGGGTGAACAGGGAGTACAGGAGGGGACTGAGCACGCACCCCTGAAGGCCCCCGTGTTGAGGATCAGTGTGGCAGATGTGTTGTTACCTACTCTTACCACCTGGGGGCGGCCCGTCAGGAAGTCCAGGATCCAGTTGCAGAGGGAGGTGTTTAGTCCCAGGATCCTTAGCTTAGTGATGAGCTTTGAGGGCACTATAGGTGTTGAATGCTGAGCTGTAGTCAATGAATAGCATTCTCACGTAGGTGTTCCTCTTGTCCAGGTGGGAAAGGGCAGTGTGGAGTGCAATAGAGATTGCATCATCTGTGGATCTGTTGGGGCGGTATGCAAATTGGAGTGGGTCTAGG